CTCACGTTCAGCGACTGCTTGTAGCTGTAGGAGGGCGCCTTCTCGTAGCCCTCGCCGTTCTCCTCCCGCCGCTTGCAGAAGAGCACGGCCTTCTCGTGCAGGAACAGGTGCCGCTGCATGGGCTTGAAGCGGGCCAGCTCCTTCACCTTGGTGTGGCCCCGCTTGTGCTCCGTCCACACGCTGAAGGAGCCCTGCATCAGCAGCTTGCCCAGGGCCCCGAGGTTCCCCTGCGCGGCGACAGGGAGGCACGTGGGACGGGTGGGCCGGCGGGTGGGGCAGCCGCCCGTGAAGAGCCCACCAGCGGGACTCCGGCCCAGGGCGTTCCGGAAGGGGTGAGCCTGGAGCCAGGAGACTGGGGGCTGCCCGGGCGGGGTGCGCAGGGGACGGAGGACTCCTCGGCAGTGGCCCTTCTCTCGTGACACTGTGACGGTGGCACGGGCCACGACGCTCTTGTCCAGGCCCAAGACTGCGCGGACAGTGGGGCTGTGGACTTGGTCTAACAACATGTGTCCCCATCGCAACAGGCGTGTCGCATTGTGGGATGCTGAGAGGGAACCCTGGGTGGGGTGAAGGGCACACGGGGACCCCCCTGCTTGGGACTTGGTCACTTAATTTTTTTTAGCTGGGGACTCATCGCCCAGGCTGGAGTGCAGTGGCATGAGCGCGGCTCACCGTAGCCTCAACCTCCCGGGCTCACGATCCTTCCGCCTCAGCCTCCTGAGTAGCTGGGACTACAGGTGCACGTCACCCTGCCCAGCTAGTTTTTTGATTGTTTGTAGAATCAAGGGCTCGCTATGCTGCTCAGGGGTCTTGAACGCCTGGGCTCAAGCAATCCTCTTGCCTTGGCCTCCCAAAGTGCTGGGGTTACAAAAGCGAGCCGCTGTACCCAGTCTTATACTCAATTCCTCCACAATCCCCAAACGGCTACAAAAGCCTATTAATCTGAAAAACCCGAGAACGAGTGCGGGATGAGCATACAGAGGCAAAAAGTGGCCACGCCAACCTGGGCTTGGGCTCCCTGGGAGGAAGTGGAGATCAGCCCTTCCTGTTCCCCATCACCAGCCACATCCCGGCAAGTGGGCGTGACATCTGCCTCTGAGCCACCCTCCTCAGGGAAGCCTCGCCTGGGGGGATGGGCCGCATCCGGGCTAGAGACACGGCGCCTCCTGGGGGCCCCCGACATTCTCCACGACCGGCAAGCCACGTGTGGACGGCACCCGGCTGCGTGGCCTGGGAGCTGCAGGTCAGGGCGCCCCCGCCTCCGGCCCAGAGCCTGATTCTCCGGGTGCAGGCGGCCGTGTCCCCCGAGCCAGGGAGGGCTGCAGGGAGCCCCCTGAGCTGCCTCGGTGCA